CTGCGGGGGCGCGGCTGGGCGGCGCCGGGCTGTTCGCGACGCCGGCGCCCGCGGGCGCGGCGGCGCCCGCCGGGCCGCGTGCGGCGCCGGGATCGGGGTCGGGGCCTTCGACGGGGGGGCACGACGCGTCGCCGGCGCTGATTTGCAGCAAAGCCTCGAACCCCTCCCCTGCGGACGACAGGCAGAGGCACGCGGGCGGCAGTGCCGCCGTCGCCGCCGCCCAGCCGGGCGCCCCGGCGGCGGCGCCGGCGCTGGCGGGTGCGGGGCCGTCCCAAGACGGGAGCCAGCCGGAGTGGGATCAGCAGCACAGCCAGACGGGCGCGACGGCTCGGGCGGCCGCGGCAGCCGAGCCCGCGCAGCGTCGCCAGTTGGTCGAGCCGGGGACGCCGGCCGACGGGCGCGTTGCCGGCGGCGGCAGCGGCAGCAACAGCGGCAGCGGGCGGGCGGGCGCCGCAGGCGCCTCCCCTGGCAGCAGCGGCGGCGGCGCGGCAGCGGCGGCGCCGATTGCGACACCTACTGCCAGCCTGTCGACTGACGACCCGGCTCGACTTCCCAAGCACCCACGCCGTGCACCTGCGGCCGCCGCAGCCATCGCAACCAACGCGCCGGCTGGGTCTGTCGGCGCAGGCGCAGCGGGCGGCGGTGGCGCGGGCGCTGAGCGCGAGGCGACGCCGCCATTCGATTTGAGCCCGCCAGGGCCCCTGGGGGACAGCCAGACGCCTGTGTTGTTCAGGGGGGCCGCCGGGTCGGTGGGTTGGCAGCAGCAGCAGCAGCAGCAGCAGCAGCAGCAGCAGCAGCAGCAGCAGCATGCAGACGAAGGCCCCGAGGGGCCCTGGGGCCAGCAGGAGGGCGGCAACGCCTTGGGCGGCCCCGGCGCAGGGCTGGGCCGTGCGCAACGCGAACCTTGCACGCCCTTGCTGCGCCTGGGCCAGGGCTGGTCACCGGCGGAGGGCGCGCGGGGCAGAGCCGCGGGCGCCGGCGTCGGCGTCTCGCCGGCGGGGACAGAGCGCACGCCGGTTCTGGGGCTGGTGGCGGAGCGGGCGGGCCGGCTGCGGCGCGCGGCGGGGGGCGAGAGCCCGGCGCAGAGCCCGCGGCAGCTGCTCGGCTCGCAGCCGCAGCACCAGCGGCAGCAAGAGCAGGAGCAGCAGCAACAGCAGCAGCAGCACTTGCCGGAGCTCCTCAACTTGCCGCCTGCGTCGCCCGGCAACACGGCGCCCCTCACCCAGGGCACAGCAGGCCGCCGCAGCAGCAGCGGTGGCACAGGGGCAGTCCTTGCCCCGGGGCTGGCCAGCAACAGCAGGGATTATGCCGGCAGCGGGGGTCTTTCATTTGGGGGCACTCCCATGGACGTGGACGGCGGTGGCACTGGGGCAGGAACGCAGAGCCAAAGCCTGGGTAGCGCGCCGCGGCCCAGCCAGGGGGGCAGCGCGCTGCGCGAGCAGCGCCACGGCCGCCCGCCGCGCGGCGCGCCCGCGTCGCGAGGCGCAGGGGGTGCGTCGGCCGACGCGGCGCTGGCCCGCCTTCCCGGCAGCGCAGGGGCGCTGCATGGCAGGCATGGCGG